CTTTAACCTGATAGCTTAGGTATGGACAAAACCAGCGAGCAGCGAAGGCAGCGCTGCTCCGGCTGATCAGCGCTGCGCTCGGCTGCTTCTTGAGTGCATGTTGAGTGCAGAAACCATCAAAAATAACTGCATGAGTTGGATCTGGTCCATACTTTCATGAGAAGTTCTTCATTTTTCATTTTTTATCACTAAATTTAGAATAGAAAGGTAGCTCATACGAGCAAACTCAAAAGAGCTATTTAAGTGTATTCATTCCATTCGACTCCTGATAAGGCAATGGCTGTCCCAGTAGTATGAAAGTGTCCCTCAGGCAATGACATGATTGCAGTCCATCGGAAGCCAAGTTTTACCTGATTACGCTGTCACCTTTTTGAATTATTGCCAATGTGTAGTCAGTATCAATTACTTCATTTCTCTTCAAGTTCATGGAGCATGTCCCTCCAGTGCGTCTTAATATTTCCCCATATCCTCTGGAACCCTAATTAAACGGTATTAGGTTGCATTCATGACTTGCTCACGCAATATAAAGACGGACGTTTCAAAACGCTAGTTAGAGCTTGAAAGTTGCTAAAAGTAGGTAATTTCGGGCCAAAACAGCTGTTTGCAGCTCACAGCAGCTGAGATAAGCTCAGAAAAAGTGAGCGTAACTCAGCTGCAAATCTCGTTGCAGCGCTGATCAGCTTGAGCAGCGCTGCGCAGCGCTGCTTAAAAATGACTCGCTAGGTATGGACACGACCTTCCATGTTAGCTGCTGCAGCGGGAGGCAGCTGCGTCACTCCGCTGCAATCAATACGCACAAATCGCATTGCTGCCACCGCTACGTATAGACACCCGACGCTAGGTATGTATCAAGCCTGACGGTGCGCACCTTACTGACACACGCCTGCCTAAGCGCGCGCTATCGTTCATAAGGTCCGCCACCCAAAGCAAACCTGTCATCAGTCGAGCTAGAAGACGTAGAAGAGCGCCTGTAAACAGTGACATTATATATAATAGTAGCTAGCTATAATGGACAATTTCATACCTTCTCTGCCTCTTTCGCTCCTTGTGTCTATGGTGCTTGGACTTCTTTGATTTCTTTTTCTTCTTCTTCTTTTCGGCAGGGAGATCAACTCTCGGAGTGCTGATTGGTACGAAGTGCGTTGGCGTTGGAAGCTGCAAAGTAATGAATATCATAAAGCTCACCACTGGTCTTCAAAAACTGTCTCTCTTTGGGAAAACTGCCAGCTTTACATGTGATGAATAATCGTACCACAAAGTGGCACTATAGTACAATAGAACAAAAACAAAACACACTCCCATGAGCATAGTCACATAGCTTTTGCAAGCGAAACAGCTACACCATGTAATACTGAAGATAAGTAACAAAAAGAAACTTAGCTAGCAGTAACAAAAGGCTTATGCTCAAGTGTGCAAAACTCAGAGCTGAAGTGGAGCTAGAAAGAGCAGAGTCTGCGAGATATCATGATGTTCGAAAAAATGAGTATGCCAAATAAGATTGCACACGATTGTGCCGTTGAAAACGGTCACAGCGTCTATGCAGCCCTAGGCTGTGTTCATGCAGTGAATTACTAAAGACCAAATTTATTGTACCAATCTATGTGCTTACAGATGAATGCACCATAAACGGATCTAAAAACATCTGAACAAAGTCCTCCATATAGACGAACTTCTTCGAATCGCGCAATCCTACTTCTTCTACTACAGGCTTTCGAACAACTTGGAGAATATATTCTGTTTTGACAACCAAAACATTCAACATTTTCTACTAGGATAAAGCGCTAACAATTTACAGAGAATCTTACAGAAAAGCAGTCTCAGGGTTTCTAGCCCCTTGTAACTTGCGCTTTTATCCAGATCTCATTATAACTAGCATATTAACAGATTATCTGTTTAGTTACATAGATCAAAAAGTTCATCGATCAGTCACAACAGAAACTGAGGATTTTGGACCACGAAGCATACTTTGCTACAGAAAGGCTGTTAGAAAAAAGCTTTGCCATTTCAATAAAAGTCGGTGACCTCAGGTATTTTCTCGTTCGAAAGTTAATCCAGTATATCGAGATAGCTGTCTAAATATCTTCAAAAAACATGAATGTATCATTCAAAAACCTCAAAATGTAAATCTAGAAAATCTAAATCAACATGTAAATCATCACGAAACTTTATGAAGAACCGGATGTTTTTCGAGAAAATGAAATGGCATGCGAAATAAAACGGTGTTTACTACTGAATCCTACAATAATAAAACGGTGGATGACTAAGCTGCAAATCTAAGCGGAAGAAATCCCTCCGCCGTGATACCTGGATACAAAATCCATTCGACAAGGTTTTTAACGAAAGTACGGTCAGTTTGGATACCTATAGATAAAATTTCTCGGTACCTTTCCGTTATCCGGACCCATTTTTTCAAAAGTTCATGAAATACGAGTTTTAGCCTAAAAGTTTTTTCCATGGATTCTGTGAGGACTACCTCCCGACGTGTCAAGATAAACATTGACAAGTTTGTGGCCAGCTTGACATGTTCTTCCAAAATCATCAGTGAACGAGAGCATTTGAAAGAACTCGAAAACTATTCACAGGCGTTTTATGAACGCAAAACAGTTTGAGATGTTTATTAAAACATCTTGGTAGCTTTCAGCAATGTTTGCAAAAAATCCTGCAGTTCACAATGTTCCCGCCATGCGAATTTAGCCCATAACTGATGGCTTGAAGTACCTGGCTGCCGATTGTTCTGTGTTTAACTGTTATAACTGTATCCCACTTCTATGTTTTGCGAAATTTAATGTGCTTATCTTGAAGCTCATTCATGAAACTGCTGACTAAAAATGGGTTATAAGAGTATAATAACCTGGACTTAGATTGCAGAATGACATGTCGACTTCTTTGACACATGGCCTCCATCCTGTGAAGTTTCTACCAACAAAAAAAAGAAGCAATAGCATTTTTTAAAAAAAGGGTTTAGATAACGGAAAAGTACCGATTTCTCGTACTCAAGTCCGCTTTCCCATGTAGCCACTTGCCAAAGTATGAAACCTCTATCAAAAAAAAAAAAAAAGAGGAGTAGGAACTAATGAAAAGGTTTGACCTACTTTGATCTGGACTTCATCATCATCCGAGTCACTGTTGATGTATCTCAGTGCATTCATATTCTTTTCTCTTTCGACCAAATGCTGCGCCCTCGCGATACTCTCGCGCTGCAACAATATATGAAAATACAAACCAAATAAATGGAATACGTCAAATTGAAGAATATTAATGTTCAACGTTCTAAAGTATGGCTTAGCAAAACTTAGACTACAAGGCATAAAAATAAAAGCTTTGAAGACATAATGAAACTGAAATTGTGCTTCACAAATGTGTAAATCTTTTGAAGCAACTTTTCTGACCTTTTCAAGGGAAAAGCCAATAGAAACTTTCTGAAAAGCGAGCGGCACCAAACCACCGCCAAGTATGCCGCTTCTCATTTAAACCCTACTACATGGTTCTCCAGACAGTTGCTGGAAATAGTTAGCAACTACCTTCACGCAATCAACGCAACATGTGATTTTCACTTAAAGAAGTCATTTACAACTTGGGCTGTGTCACACAAGTGTCCAAGGATGGGAAAATATGCAAAGTCTAAAACCAATTGCTTTACTGCCTTTGAAACGTTGGAAGTACACAAATGAATGCTTCACTAACTTACCCTGTTGCGAGCTTCCAATATTTTTTCCTGATCGAACGAAGAATATCGGTCATCGTCTTCGCACTCTCCTTCTTCCCTGTCTTCGTTGCTCTGATCTGCATAGGCGCGAAACATCTGCAAGCTTTACATTGTTCCATACGTAGAGAAAATGTGAAGATTATGTTCCATTGTTGACTCCTCAGAGTGCGATCATACTGATCCCGAAGTCCGGAAACAGTTCCAGCATAGCGCTCATCAAGCGCTGTGCTGGTACTGTTCCCGAAATTCCGGATCAGTATAACGCAGCCCCAGATACAGCTATATTATCATCCGCAAAAATCGAAAGCAGAAGAACATACGCAGCCCCAGATACAGCTATATCATCCGCAAAAATCGAAAGCAGAAGAACATAAGTGTTGGGACGGCCTAGGCTGAGTGTAACGCATTTAATGTCTAACTAACTAGACAACCTGTGTGCACATGGAAACATGCCTTAAAAAGGATTAAACATAATCATACTGGTAGCGCAGTATTAGAGTTCACGAAGAAAAAAATCCTAAGTCAAATGAGATCAAATTTCATCAACATGTCTAAAACAAGCAGAAGTTTCGGAGCGAAAATTAATGCAATAACAAAGCCCAAGAATTTGCGCAGAAAGAAAGAGACCCCCGAAGTGACTCTTGCAATGCCTCACCTTTGACAGTGTTTTTCTAGACCTCTAAACCAGGATTCAAAAATGTTACTTTGAGAGGGCGATTGCTGGCTGGGGATAAACTAAACCTGCGTTCACACTGATCCCAAAGTCCGGGAACAGTTTCAGCAGTTCCAGCACAGTGCTCAGTTTAAGCACTATGGACCTGTTCCCGGACTTCGGGATCACTTTGGCAGCCTAATCTGCCCAATCGATCGAACAATGGATCGCCACGAAGGAGCCGGAAGAGTGCATCGCATACCTAAAATGTGCATGGACGAAACGACAATCTGCCGTTAATAAGTCCAAGTCCATCGAGTATCAAAAACTCCGGGCCTCCCCAAAATTGAGAAAACTGCAGGATACCCGGCGAGATTCGGCTGGCGTTGGACAACGTAAAGTGTTTTCCTCTCGCGTTTTAACATGCCTTTTTGGGGAGCGCCCTTCTTCCTGACGTGTGAAGGTTAAGAAAGAAAGACACAGCCCATCCAGACTGCTTCTACGAAGTCTTCGGATTTCGAGATTCATATGCAAACTTGAATGTACAGGATTATCAATGTCCACGGGCTCGTGATTCGCAATCGCAGGATCCAAGTTTTGATCGTTAGTATTGATAAAACGTCGCATTCAAAACTCAATCCTCAAGGTAGCATAATCGACAAGATGACGCACAAGAGGCGCAATGCGAAAAGAAAAGCTACACCAAAAAGTGAGACAAATAGGGCTGGTCTTAGCGCAGCGCAGAATCGGGTCAAGCTGCCGTACTCAAGAAAAAAGCAGTGTTGATCTTTTTCAGCGCGATGAGGAGAGGAAGGGATACCACTGCTCGAATTAACATTTTTCAACAAACTGGATAGTATCCGTATTTCTCATTTGCTAGTCAAAATGTGATGGAAGTGTGATTCGTTTGTTATGTTATTTATGCTCTATAATAAAAATTTCACCCGAGACGGTATCATTCCTTCTTGGCTCTGAAGAGCCTTCAAAGAACTGAAGATACCTCAAAAATCAAAAGACGTGAAGTCAAGACAGCAGTCAATATAACGAGAGAGGCAAAATTTGGTCATGAAAGTGCGAAAGAGAACCACAAGCAAATTAGCTAAAGATACAACAAAGCGGGATTTGGAAGAAGACTTGTCACTGAATAAAATGCAAAGGTTAGGCAAATGTGCCAAAGGTATCGAAACTCGGGATTATCTCCTCACATATAAAAAGTGATTTCGTGCTAAAGACAGAATATACAGGGTGTCCCAAAAAATGTGCACACTGTTTGATTGTAAATAACTCTCTTGTAATGAAGTGTTTCGAGAAACTTTAGGTACCATTTTGTAGAGCAAGGTTCAACTTAGATTTATGGTGTAGCGCGAATCGCCGATTGCTCATTCTTACTGTAGGATTACGGTAGAAACTTCAAACATATGGTGTCACTGTGAAAAAAACAGCCGTTTAAGAAATTTTCAAAAAATGTGGAAACTTATGTAATAGGCTTTTCACGGACGCTGAATTCAATAACCAACTATTTACAAGGTTGCGAAGCTTTCTAAACGGTTAACCGCACTTTCTAGGAACATTGAGAAAACGGTCGCTATTGCTTACCTCGCATAATTTTTCAATGAAGCATTACGAAAAGTTGCAAACTTCACATTTAGAATCAGCTCTAATTAGCCCACTGTGAGAGTTTTCAGGATGTTTTGATTCATTTTTGGAACAAAATATGGCCTTTCATGGCTCATAACCCTCTTCAAAGTTTCTACCGTAATCCTACAGTAAGAATGATCGATCAGCGATTCGTTTTATACTGGGCGCCATCTATTCCTACCGGGCTGGCTGCGCGAGCGGTTCGCGTGCGGCAGCCGTGATTGGCGCAGGGGCGCGCATTGTTGCATGTGCGTCACAGCATCTTCGAGTGCTGTTGATCGGGGCGCGTGCGGATAAAAAGTTACTGGAAAGTAAGTAAAAGTTGAGAACTCACTACGGAGTGCAGTGCGACTTTAAGTAAACATGTAAGCTATCTATTTGCCGTGGGGTGCTATGACTAACTGTTCGCAGAAGATCTATGTTAGCAAAGTATATCGTTTTTTTTCTTTCTTTACGGTAATTGTTGTGGGAATTTCTCCCCGAGCTTGTCAAGTCTAGTACAACTCGATCATTCCCTTTTAATGAAGAACTCGCATTCTCGATGTTCTCCCATCACAAAGCTATGTAAGTCTGATCTCATTGTTCTCTTGACTTAGATACATATATATGTACAACTCGTTGCAAATGTTATGCAATGACTTTTTCTAATCTCTGTCGCTGATATTCAAAGCTCAAACTGCGTGAGAAATACTTGAAATTGACGGTTTCCGTCAGTTGCAATAGATCCAGAACTTTGTTACTACTGGCCGCTTTTCTGATAACAAAAGGAGAAGAGTTGAGAATCTTAAAGATGGGAAGTTCATCAGATATTAACTACTTGAGTTGTAATGCGATGTGTGCAAACACTTCACTAAGTGAATGGATTGTAACTCTGGGCAAGAACGTGATATCTTCGGAGTGAAGGAGCTTATGCGAAGAACCATTAGATGACTGGTTGTTTGATGTTGGTAGGTTTTGTAGCAATGCCAATACACCTAAATTACTTTTATAATATACTTGTTTAGATATCTAGCATTAGACAGCGCATGGCGATCTTAACCCGCTCATAAGTCAAAACCTTTTACGATGTAAATGTAACGAGAATTCAACAGGAGGGGAACGCCAAGTCCACGTCGCTAAGTCCAAATATAGCATGCATATTGCGAATAAATCAAGAAAGCTTTACGATCGGATGTGTAGGCAGGCACTTCTTCATCTCCTTCAACCACCATGATAAGATCGAATATGATTTTGAACATCCTCAAATCGTTGGAGTCACACAGCGTTAGGGAAAGTTAGCTTAAACTTCAAGAGATCGTGGTCGGTACAGAAAAGACATTCAAAACCTTCTTTAGTCTCTATTTACATAAAAAAGCAATCATCAGAAAAGGAATAAGCTACTCAGGTCTTGCAGGGAGATGTCTGATACCACCGTCATAAAGTCAAGTAGCGTACACCAATGAAACGAAACAATGTCTTCATCAACATTTCATTTGCTCACTCTACAATGAATAAAAAGCGCCAAAGTCTTCAATGACAGTTTGATGCCATGAAGACCAAGTCCAAGAGGGAATGCGCGCTCTTACGCCAATCACGGCTACCGCACGCGAACCGCTCGCGCAGCCAGCCCGGTAGGAATAGATGGCGCCTTTATACTCAGACATTCGCCGTTGTCACCCGCAGGTGGACCGCCACAAAATGGCTGATCGCACCAAAACCCGGTGCACCGGCGGGAGACATGAATTTAGTTTTGACCGGATTTTACTGCGATTTTGCCCCGACGCGCGAGCGTATGTTTTAACACGCCCGATAGCGCGCTCATTCGAAACCAAGCACCGCGGAGAAAAGGATTTCGAAATACCGTCCGTCTCACTTATCGTTTTCCTTTTAATTTTGTTAGTCGTCGTCTGGTAGTCGTTCCTTTTGATCATCCCACTTCTGTAAAACCACTATATCATTGTTTTCAATAAAATCACATCCTTGTTCCTGTTTTATCCCGACTTTATGCATTCTACGCTCTCATACTTACCGCGTTTGCTCTGCTTTATCGACTTTTCATATTACCGAAGTATTTCAGATGACAGAGCATTTGATGAAGCTTTTGCTGCGGAGAATTCTTTCTTTGAACACCTGTTGTCATTCCGAATGTTCCGCTATGCGCGTACGGCTCTTGGTCTAGGAACATTACCAATCGACATGTTGATCATGTTGGCCAGAAAGTAAGTCCTAGTATTTTTTAGAATTATTTGTATTTTTTCACAGCTATCTTCCATTTATCTTTATCAATTTTATCAATCCATTTGATTTTCGAAAATTTTCTCATGCAAGATGGTGCAAAAGGTAGGAATGTGTTTGGCTGGTTTCGCATAAATTTTAGGGCACACCCTTATATTGACATTGAGTTTGGAGTGGAAGTTTGTGGTTGAACCTGGCTACGAGCAACGAGGAACGCAGACGGAAGTACGACAATCTCTCGGAAGCGCGGATGACTTGGATTGCACGCACACGCATGGCCATGGGAAGAGCACTGTGAGTTACATCAGTCTAAAGCAAAGGTGACAATTGACCATCACACCTATTTAGAACGGATGTGCGTGCGTACCATCTCGATGCTGACCGAGGAACTCTGCTGGCATCGAAGGTAAAACTTTCTTCCTCAGAATTTACGCTGTTGATGCTAATGATGTTTTTCAGAAGAAGCGCCCCTGCACATCTGACGTGACTGGCTTGAATGTCATCCAAAAAACGGACGCTGACATCGCAGAAACGGATGCCAACGACACACATTAGATCATATGCACATTTTAAGTTGTGTTTTTTGTCAAGTGCTTTCTCGATGTAGCTTATTCGATTTTGCGCTGATGCAGATTTTTCCCCACCATGAAGTTTTCATTAAATTCTATAGCTTGATTTGTAAGTGACAGTGAAAGAAAACAGCACGGTGGAAGTGAACACACAAGTATAGACCGTAACTCTGTACTTGTGTGTTCCACTCCATACTTACGCTATATATATATATATATATATATATATATATATATCAGTGGCGGACCGAGGGGGGGGGCGAGGGGGGCGCGCGTCCCCCCCCCCCCCGAGAATGGGTCGCGAAATTTTTAAAACTTACCTATATGGGTTGTAAAAATGTGCAAACAACTTGTTTGCACTTGAAAATAATTAAAATAATTTTTTAAATTTTTTAAAAATTCATTTTAGCCTTATAAAAAAATTTTTTTCGGGGGCGTGGCTGACGCCACGCCCCCTTTTTTCAGACTTTAGGGGCCGGAGACCCGCAAAAATTTTGAGAAGCACCCCAAAAAATTTTTCGGAGTGCGTGGCTAACGCCACGCACCTTCTTCAGAAAAAAATTTTTGTCGCGCCCCCCCCCCCGAAAAAATTTCTCGGACCGCCACTGATATATATATATATATATATATATATATATATATATATATATATATATGTACCTACGAGGGTAAACCACAGCTCTAAGGATCGGGGCATTATGGTGTCTCCCGCAGGTCACTCCCATAATGACCGGAGAATGCCGTGTCGGGGCATTATGGTGTGTCCCGCAGGTCGCCGCGCTGCAAACACAGGTGACCTGATTTTGCCCCGACACCGATTTCGTGTGACGCGCCGTTGGTCAATGAGATCACATCGTTTTAACCTGCGGGTGACAACCGCGAATGTCTGAGTACTGCGAACTAGTGAACCAACAATCTAAAGGTGCTATTTGCAAGAGCGATCGCTTCGGGACCGCGCCGCAGTTTCCCGCTATTTGCACATTTTTGAATTTGAATTGCGCTTACGATTCTTTATATATTAATAATCTATATTAATGACCAATGAACCAGTAATCTAAAGATGCTATTTGGAAGAGCGTTCGCTTCGGGAGCGCCACGCGGTTTCCCGCTATTTGCAGATTGCGCTTGTGATTTTTATATATTAGATAGATAGATGTATTAGATTAGATCTAGATCTAAGTTGAGCCTCGCTTTACAAAATGTTACTCAAAGCTTCTCGAAACACTCCATCACAAGAGAGTTATTTACAATCAAACAGTGTGCAATTTTTTGGGACACCCTGTATTGGATTATTGCATTATCGGATTAAGAACTCTTTCATAATAATATTTTATCTCTGTCGTTTTGCAAAGAATAAAGCATGTATCTACTTGTGTTAATAGGGCGAGGAGAGAGATTGCGAGGGAAAGGGAAAAGCAAGTAGTATAAGATCAAGGGCCTACTTTTCTATATAAACAGTCCTGATTCTCCCCTGCAAAGATAAGGTTGATTACGGCTTCTCGGGGATGCTTCCAGAACCACTCTCAGCGCCTGCACAACCACGCTCTGAAATAAAAACGGATGAAGCTATATGCGTTCATACTGATCCCAAAGTCCGGGAACAGCAGAGTCAGAACGGCTCAGTTCTAGCGCTGTGCTGGAACTGTTCCCGAACTTCCAAACCATTATGCGCAACCTATAATGACTGCGGCACAAAATCTATAGCAAAGACGGCCGAAACCGCGGTTCGCCTTAAACCATGAGTAAATAAATCTTTATCGTGAAATAAAAAACTGTCAGAAAACACAAGGGTATCGTCGACTTGAATGTAGAGGACGAAATCTTGCAAAGGCCATTGCGCGAATAACAAAACCTCCATGTATACAGGATATAAGTAACAGAACATGATAAACGAGAAAACTATTTTGATGAGATCAAAACTCGAAACTAGTGCTTCAGAAAAAGCCCATTTTGGACATGTTCGAGCTCTCAAAGCTGCATTGGAATCAGCTGGAAGGATAAGCCAAGTAAGCAAGATTTCCTTCACTCGACGTTTTGCCCAGAGCCTGCCCTCAAGGTTTGATGAGCAGATGAGTTTCTCCTGAAAGTCTCCGCTAATGCTGCGGGGTGCGGTTGTTTGAGCTGGACCTAGCTGACCCACAATTTCAAACAATGTTCAGCTTCGCCTAAATGAATCATTGAAAGGTTAAAATCTAAACAAATGTAAAAAGAACGAAAAACCGATTTTCTTCTACAACTGTAAAGTCAATTAATGAGTTGTCCTGCTGTCGTGTGGAAATGAATCTCAACGCCATATCAGTACTGAAGCAGGTGATCTGTGCCAATCGATCAGTGATAGGACACAAAAACTACATTCGAGCAGAATTTCCGCTCAATATAGTATGCTTGCACTGAAGGTGAAGCGGTAAAATTTGCGCGTGAACAAGTAGCCACTCTAGTAAGGCACCCGCCACTTGATCCTCTCAAAGGCAGCGTCCAGACAAGTCTGGACACATGGGATCTCACGTGGATAGTAATTTTGGGGCCCTAACTAAGCCACTGCCCAACCGGCAGCTCAGGTAGTACTCTAACGGGCGAGATATTCCCTTCGAAACTGGACCCCGCAATCGTATTTCGCTTGGATTCATGGCGCAAAGCGTGTGTCCTAGCGCGAAACTGCCATGAATCCATCCGAATACGAACGCGGGGTCCAGTTTCGAGGGGAATATCTCAGCCGTTAGAGCACTACCTGCGCTGCCGCTCGAGCAGTGCCTTGGCTGCCCCAAAATTACTATCCACGTGAGATCCCCATATGTCCAAACTTGCCTGGACGCTGCCTTTAAGCTACACACTATGCATGTGCAGTTCGTTAATGTTGGATCTGAAGACTTCTGGCGAATTGCCAAATCGCGTCGTGACTGAAATCACGTGAAGTATGCCCGGCCTTTTTATACAACCATTTTAAAAAGAATCAGTGTGGGAATTGCTTACATGAAAGCAAACCTTCATCAACTTACCTCATCTACTTAGAAAAAGTCATGCCGGGTCTGTCTCAAGATAAGATGTACCATAAAAAAGCAGTTGTAAACGGTCGGCAATTATCTCCTGTCTCGATCCACTGAGACTCATACCGACTTCCAAGCGGCGATCCTATATCCTTTATAACAGCTAGATAATTTGTATACCATGCCATATACTGGTAGGATAAAAGCACACGTCAGAAAGCATGCAACAAGTCTCAAACGCATGTTCAACAAATTCGAAACTCCTATAGTGATTATTCCACTGAGCATGTTTCCTATTACAAGAATTCGTGCAGCTTGCCAAGCCACTCTGCGATGTAATTTGGTAACAAAGTATAGTAGATATGTATGTGATCTTCTTTGAAAGGTCCACTTCAGTCGAAGCACATGATAGCTAACCAAACACTAGTCGAAGACGTTCATTGTAGTACTCTGCGATACTGGGAAAGAATAAGTCAGCTTGAGAAAGACTGAATCAAAACGAGCAACATCAGTGTTTTCCCTGGGAAAATCTGGTGTTGGCAAATCGGACTGGCAGCGGAGCAAGTTTCTTGTTCGGCGCGCACATGATATCCAGCCGCGGTGTCCCAAGCAGAGGTGCGATGGGGGGAAGCCGGCCCCACCAAAAGTGAAGGTGGTCCCAGCTAGCACTGAACGCTAGAAGTGAATATGGTAGTGCCGGTCACTCACCTCAAAGAACGTGGGTGGGGGGGGGGAGCGTTGACGTCGGCTGAGCCTATCTCTCCAAATCGTTGCCACCAGTGCGCGGAAAAAGCAAAACAAATGCAAAAGAGATCATTGAAATCATATTTCTACATGTACAACGGCATAAATATCTAAAATAAACGTGCTTATCAAATGGTGTATTTGGAAGTAAAACTCAGCGGAACTGTACGGATTCTATTAAGTAAATTTTGTTATAACGTACAGCGAAAAAGTAGGTCGATCCAGGAAGAAATTGCCGAACCAGAACTTTGAATAATAAAATATGGAAAAATCATGAGAAATTTCCACTGTCATAGGGTGCCTTCATACCGCACCGGCAGCCGCCGCTGGCAGCCCGTAGCAGCCCACAGCAGCCGCCAGCAGCCAGTGGCAGCCCGTAGCCGCCCCTGGCCGCTTTTCTCATACAAGCGCAAAATCATCAAATTCTTACTATTTCAAGTGCAACCGCCTACGCCCTCCATCCTCCACGCTTATTCCTTCCTGTTGCCGCAGTTTGATCTCATATATCAACATACTTTGTCCGTTGTTGTTATTATCTTGTTACCGTAGATTGGTTATCCTATCGATCCTCAGTTTCCCTCTCGCAATTGAACCATATCTCGCCAAAGTTTCTTCGCAGTGTGATTTCTTCTGACTTTGGATGCGTCCAGTTCCTGCAGGTTGCTATTTGTTGATTTTTTTAGGTATGTTTTGCTTCAGTCATATCACATCGGCGTGGAAGATTGAAAGTATGGGCAGGCGCAGGCAAAGGACCAAGAATTTAATGATTTGCGCTTTTATGACAAAGGCTGCCAGCGGCGGCTGCGGGCTGCTGGCGGCTGCTACGGGCTGCTGGCGGCTGCTACGGGCTGCTGGCGGCTGCTGCGGGCTGCTACGGGCTGCCAGCGGCGGCTGCCGGCGCGGTATGAAGGCAGCCATAAATCTGGTATTTGAAGATGTCAGCAATTGCGAGTTCATAGGTTTTAAAGAGTAAGTGGTGCTCTATTAGATAATGAAAGAATTCGAGAGATAGTCGCGAAAACGAGATTTCTAAAAAATTACGCCATTTTAGCGTGTGCTGACAGTTAAGCTCATATAAATCTTGAATGTGAAAGTGTGTGATGTTGCGACCTCATAGGTTTTGTAGAGTAAGGATTGCCTTATCAAAATATATCTTAGCCGTACCAATCCGTTCAAACACCGCCGAAAGCCAGACTCTGGAAAGAGGTAAAAAAGCGCTTTTCAAAATTCAACAGCTCATAACTTCTTCAGAATTGCATGATTCATGCTGCGACTTCATATCTTAGATTCTTCTCATCAAGAGCTTTCAGATGACATATAACATGTGGGGGTTTGGGATCTCCTACGGTTTATGCTCGGGGAGGACACTTTTCATCACTAATTCTCCTCTCTGGCGGCCTCCAGCTAATACATTGAAGTGGGCTGTGGGGGGGGGGGGAATTTGTGATGAAAAGTGTTTTCCCCCAAGCATAAACCGTAGGAGATCCCAAACCCCCACATGTTACATGTCATCTGAAAGCCCTTGATGAGAAGAATCTAACATATGAAGTCGCAACATGATCCACTCAGCTCTGAAGAAGTTATGAGTTGTTCAAAAGGCGCTTCTTTACCTGCTTTTTCAAGATCCTGGATCTCGGCGCTGTTTCAGTGTATCGATACGGCTAAGATATATTCTAAGGCAACCCTTACTCTACAAAACCTATGAAGCCGCAAATCATATACTTTCACATTCAAGATTTATATGAGTTTTACTGTTAGCTATCACTAAACACGCTAAAATGGCGTAATTTTTTTAGAATTCTGGTTTCTCGGCAACTCTTTGTCGAATCGACTCGATTCTTTCAATATCTAATAGAGCACCACTTAATCTTCAAAACCTATGAAGTCGCAATTGCTGACATCTTCAAAGACCAGATTTATGACAGTGGAAATTTCTCATGATTTTTCGCTATTTTATTATTCAAAATTCATCCATTTACTAAGCACGTTTTTTTTGTAAATGCCGCCGTATACATACAAATATGCTTTCAAAGACCTTCTTTGCGTTTGTTCTGCTTATTTTCCTTCTTTACCGTCCAGCGAAAAAATTGTTTATCCCAAAAGTGAAGGTGCTCACCTCCGGTGTCTCTCAAAGTCCGCTCATGGGATGCTCCCATTGGGTTCCTTCATACTACGCCGCGCACGCCGCGTACGCCGCTTACGCCGCCGCAGCGCAATGGAAATATGCTCACGGCAGCAGAGCTCCACTTTATTTTTGATGTATCTTTATATTTGCTGCACATTCGTGTCCCTCAATAGTGTTCCTTCACATTATGCATTTCTTCCTCTCTTTTGCTTTTTTTATCCTGTCTATCCTTTGTCTATATCAGTGATTGATGGAATGACTTAGGTTGTTGTGCTCCCTCTACTTTTGAGTTTCACATCTTGTATCGTAACTGACTGCACATTGCGTCATCTGGTTGTATATTGGTAGTATATGGTTGTATGGTTTTATGTTGTATCTGGTTGTATATTTGCGCACTGATTCATTGATTCACGCTTCACGGATTCTCGAATAAGTTCGAAGACTTCCAAACATCAACAGGATTTTCGACGGATTCACTCCTAAAAAAGTCAGTGAACATGTGAACTCTTTGATTGCCAGTATCGTCATTTTACTCGTGAGAGTATGTAAAAAAGGAGAGTAACGGAGAGAAAATGTCTACAACCTGCATTCACTCCGCATTCACAATGTTAACGTATCTGGGGTCAAAATTGTACAGAAATAAATGATGAAATGACGCTCGTAATAATAAGCAATTATAGAGATACATTAAAAAAATGGAGCTCTGCTGCCGTGAGCATATTTCCATTGAGCTGCAGCGGCGTACGCGGCGTGCTCGGCGTACGTGGCGTATGAAGGAACCCATTGTGTGCTGAGCAAGAATGGTAGATGGACCACCAAATATTTATCAAATTTGATGGATTAAGAGGTTAAACTATAATTGGGTTTTGGGAAATTGACAGTAAAGATTCTCAAACAGGTTTTCAGGTACCAGGATGATAATAGAAGTAGTATCATGTCACAGACCTAATAAATGAATATAGTAACGGTCGTCTTTGTAGTAGTCAAATGAAACACCCTATCAGCAAAATCAAAGTGATGATGAGTTAGAAGTTGGGTTATCAAAAAGTAATTCAAAGCAGGAGAACATAAGCCGAAAATGATATTTCAAAGTGATTTCAACAATACTTTAACAAAGAGACTAACACTACATTCTGGATACTCAGAGCCAAATAGGACGTAAAATGCAAATGCAAACATCTTATGCCTGAGAGGAGGCTCAGTAAAGCTTCATAGCTCAGACTTGAAGTGCGAAGCGAACCTGGACAACTTTTACCCCGCTGGCAGTTGTCGAGGCATAGGATTAGAGAAGTGGGACAATATCTAAGATAAATGGGGGAGAACCAACGAAAGCTATTATAACTGTTATAACAGACAAATTTTGGTGACTTTGCCTGCTTTTGGCAGCTTTTTGTCCGAGTCTGATTTTGCAACTCGAAAATTTTTGGTAAATAACTTCGCATCCACTTTCGAAAACACGACTTTTCAACGTTTTTCTCGCGAATTTTTCCTTTCCCTCCCCCTCTCCTCCCCCCCTCCCCCCCCCCCAGTAAAACATTTATTGGAGTTAACAACGAATAAGTTTTACTTGATTTATGACTTTCTTGGCTCATCAGACGACTGGCGCTTGACTGCAAAGGTCAACTAATCGGCTATCGATTAGCACAAATGCAATTAACGCAGTGACTACCGTAAAAGATTAAGAAAATTATCTCAGGAAATTAAAATGCAATATAGAGTAAGTTTTCCGCAAAGGCATTCACAGGAGTTCATGAAAAATTTGAAATCGAGCTGGAGCTCTTACCTCTCTAATAATTGTTCATCAATTCTAATCTTTGTAAGAATGAGATTTACATTGATGCGAATTTATACAAAAGTCCATTTAAAAGATTCGTTCTCAAAACTGGTCGCAGACTTGTTTTTCCCTTCCTTGTATTTTCATCCCAGGTCTTTTAAACTAGCCTTTTCCTTCAAGGAATTCCTGAGCAAAAAATGCAAGACCCAGACTCAGAGTAGAGGGCGGAGCTTGGAAAGTTGCCAGATCTCATGAGTTATGTTGTAAGCCACGCAGGTTTGTTAAGTTCTTTATTTCGTTATTTATTTTTTTATTTCTTTATTTCTTTATTTTATTATTTTATTTATTTCATTAATATTACAAGAAGTTGCCAGATCCTTTTTGGCACGCGGTCAGCTCCTCCCCTTTCCACTTTGGATACACGCGGTAAGGCCTTTGGTTCCTCCTGCATCGCCGCCTAGATTTTGTGGGCGCGACCACAAAATATTAGAAAATTTGTTTTCGGGAGAGTGGTGGCAGCCACGCCCCCGAAAAAATTTTTTTCA